TTCGCGGGCTTTTCGCGGGCTTTTCCTGCCTTGGAGACCCCCTAAATACGGAAAAATGCTCAATGTACCCCCCTAAATTCGGAATAATTTCTCAGGAGTCCAAAAAGATCAGAGAGAAAAGAAAAAAAAACAACCTTTTTTAAAGAAATCTCCGAGTGAAAGTCAAATACACCCCCTGTTTTTTACAATTCTCGGGCCGGACTTTGTCGCACGAAAAGTACCCCTTTACCGGACATTTTAGCAACACGCATGTGGTCATTCCGCCCCCGGAGTGGGGAGGGGGGGGGGGGGGCGGGCGGGCGGGCGAAAATGCCTTTAAAGCTAATCTTGAGCTCTGGTATGGGCATAGTATATGAAGAGAATATGGCTATAATTCATTCTGGATTGTTTATGCTCCAGTAGATTAATTGTTTTAACCAGTAAAATAAAAACAACCTGCTGGAAATTATCTTTAATAAAAACTACAACTCTCATTCGCAAATCAGTAATTACCTGTGTAAAAGCACATGGTGTCGGGCCTACTTTATTTGATCTCCTTATATTTCTACGCTAATTACTCAGCCCCTATATATTTTCTACCAGAATCGTTTAGCACATGACATCTTTTTGTAATCTTGAACATTCAGTGTATCGGTTTTGTTGTATTCTGTGAGAATTGATTTCCTATCATTACCAGAACTCGAGCTTATCTTTAAGTCTTGGGCAGAGCCTGATTCTGTCACAGAGGCAGGCATAATAGTACAGCCTATGGATATAGCATTATGGGGTTACAGTAGACCGTACAGCGTGGATACCTACATGTTTCACAAAGACTAACATCGACTTAAGTTTGACTTGAACTACGGCAGGCTGTTCATGCCAATAATTCCTCTAACCATTCCTCGCATTGGCTTCTCAATGGACGTACAAATCGTGGTTCACAAATCTACACAATCTATCTTTTTTGATAATTCATTATTGAAGAAGAAATGATTCATTATTGATTATTATCTAAAGATCATATTTGCGAGACCAATGGTGAGAGCAACCAGTGGCATGAACAGCCTGTCATAGTTAAAGCCCCCCCCCCCCCCCCAAAAAAAAAAAAAAAAAAATTAAAAAAATCGCGCTTCAAAATGATCAGGAAGTGCCTCAAAAAAGTAAAAGCCTTTGAGTGACCGGTTTTTACCATACTCGTTTTACCCAATAGACTGTAGTGTTATGAAAACCGTTTGGCAAACGGCTTTCAAAATTTGTAATTTCAATCATAAATATCTTGATCAGACAGGCGATCGGCTTGTAAAAGTCAACATGGGGTTCCTGACTGACCTGATTATCATTGCAGCATGAGCTAAATCCAGGATTTTGTTTCAGAATCTAAGACAAAGTTACCGGATCCCTTTAAGTCGAGCTTATTCTTTATGAAACACCCCCCTGGCACTCTGTTACGCTCTATGACTGACAAGTGTTTGTGCTTGCAAACTACTTTCAACTGCATGAAGGAACGATTCAATTTTCTCCTCGAGACAAAGATCAACGCAACTTGGCGCCTTCTGAAAAGAAGAGCGTGACGGGGTAATTGTACATACTTGCAATGAAGCCAGCGAACCTTCATGGTCTTTTGTATACTCATTTTCGTTTAATGTAATTCTTGATGTTTAAAAAACGAACAAATAATAAAAAAAGATGTAAACAAGTTTTCGAATCGAACTCTTGGGAATCAGCTCTTCGAGGTTTCAAACAGTTTCATCTCGACATAACAGAACAGAATTCTCTTTTCTGACTAATACCAGAGAACAATTCCATACATCGACGACGAACTCAAGAGTCAAGACAAGATAATATACCAGTTTTTGTTTTCGGTGGTATTATATATCCCTTGAATCAACGTTTTATTCATATTTCAAAAGGAATATTTAGGAGCTACCAGAGAATTATCAATTCAACAAAAGGGAGTGTCAGTTTCACGATTCTTTTGAAGCCTAGCGTAACATGGTAGATCAAAGTTTTTTCAATGTTGTTTCAACCAACTATTGGTCTCTTTCGAACAAAGATACAAGTATGGAGAAAACGGCGAAAAGGGTTGTGCAGTGACAGTGGTGTAGATTTGGGTCCAACAATTTAGAAAGGGGACATGCGGGGCGGTGGGGGGGGGGGGGGGGGGAATGATTGTTGTATTTGGTAAAGAGAACAAGGTCACGGAATAGTAAAAGAGTCCATGGTCGTGCACGAAGTATGGGGAGTGTGTGGGAGGGGTCGTATCATTGTGTTGCTTTTCCCTCTCCGCATGTTTTCCTCTCTTTCCCTTTTATTTTTTGTTATTGCTTGTTTCGCGCTCTTCGGGGATCAGAGGGAGTGAACATGTAGCCTTTGCCACACCTGGACTCCAAAACTCACACTCTGCCCGAAGCCCTGAATGTTGAATTTTTAATCGCAATGTGCTCCCGAATCTCGGTTATGCCTTTCAGGAAGTACCGAGGCCTTTCCTTTTTCTTCTGCTTTCCATTCCTTTCATTTGTTTTACTAACACGGTTGCGTTGTTATGAAGGGGGTACAAGTGTTGTTCTATGGATGTTAGATGAGGCAGCGAAAGGATATAGAATTTCGACGATAAATCCCTTCCGGTAATGGTATCAAATATGATATGGCGACGGGGCCACACGTGACAAAAGGAGGGCCCGAATCATGAAAGCAGTGATGTATCAATCAAAATAAGTCAGCCCGCCTCACTCTAGATTGGGATTGAGAAATAAGAGCTTTTTCTATTCAGCCGTTGATGGATCTCAAAACAGTGAAATGATTATTATTTGGAGTGGCTAAGATGCATCAACAGTATACCTCTCTGTCTGACTCACTCTTTTTTTCTCTCTCTCTCTTTCCCCGTCTAAACTTTATTCACATCTATCTCAGTTAACTGAGATGGATCTATCCCCTTCTCTTCCACTCTCTCTCACTTTTTTTCTTCTCTCTCTCTCACTTTCTTCGTCTTACATTTATTCATATCTACCTTAAATAGCCAAGGCGAACCTCGTTATCCCCTACCCTCTCTCTCTCTCTCTCCCTCCTTCTCTCTATCTTTCACTTTCTACGTCTTGGATAACCGATGTTAATCTCTCTATTCCCCCCTCTCTCTCTCTCTCTCTCTTTCACTCACACACTTTATACGTCTTTCATTTATTCATATCTACCTTGGATAACCAAGGTGAATCTTTTTAAACCCCCCCCTCTCTCTCTCTCTCTCTCTCTCCCCCTCTTTCTCTCTATCTTTCACTTTCTACGTCTTTCATTTATTCATATCTACCTCAGATAACCAAGGTAAATCTCTTTATACCCCTGCTCTCTATCTCATTCCCTCTCTCTCTCTCTCTCCCTCTTTTCTCTCTCTCTCTCTCTCTCTCCCTCTCTATCTCTCTGTCTTTCACTGTTTACGTCTTAGATGTATTACCTAAGATAGCCAAGGCGAATCTCTTTATCCTCCCCTCTCTCTCTCTCTCCCTCTCTCTCTCTCTCACACACACACACACACACACACACACACTTTGTACGTCTAAGATGTGTTCACATCTAACGAAGATAACCAAAGTGAATCTATATATCCCCCTCTCTCCCACTCTCTCTCTATTTTTCCTTTTTTACTTCTTTCATTTATTCATATGTACCTTAGATAGCCAAGGTAAATCTCTCCACCCATTCCCTCACTCTCTCTATCTTTCTCCTCTCTCCGTATCTTGCTCTCTTCGTTTCTCTCTTCATGTCTCTTTTTTGTTTTTTTCCTCCATCTTTTTGTCTTCTCTTTTTATCTCTCTGTCTTTATTTCATCCACTTCCTCATAGTCCCCTTCTTCCATCTTTAAAATCTACTTCTCCTTGCCATTCTCCGTGTTTCCCCCTCCTTCTCTTCCCTCTCTTTTCCTTATGTTTGATTCAGATTTCGTCATTGATTCATTTTCTCTAATATGTTCCAATTGTCTGCTTTGTCATATGAAAGGAAACTGATACATATAACATCATTGACCATTACAACCACGAGAAAAAAAAGAAGAAAAAAAAAAGAAGCTGAAAATTGATATGTCGCCAAAATATTGGCGATAATCCAGAAGGATTTATATGGGATTAATCCTGGAGACACCAAGGTTCGGCAAGAAGGAGGGTGAGCTATTTTTAGCCTGTTGGATTAATCACTTAACGGTGGGTAATAAAGAAAGTCAAAGAGTGTGAATTGAAAATACCGAGAGGTTGAGGCAGGATAGAGACATTTCTAAAAGAATCACATTTAGATTTTAGAGTTTCCCTCAAAAGATAGGGAGAAAAATCAACAAAAAAAAAACACAAAAAATGACGGGGGACTGCATAAGATTGACGGAATACATAACGATGTACTCTTTTTGAATGCCGATTCATTTTTAGCAGCTATTCAACAAAATTTGAACTACAATTCATGTTACCTAAGATGCCAACTAATTGCAATTTTCGAATGACTTTAGAAAAAAGGGGAAATTAAATTTCCGAGAATCTATCCATTTAAACAGAATATCGTATCCTTCGTATCAGTTTTTTTGTTGAAACCCCCAAGAAGATATTTTGACAGTGTTTTAATGATCAAGAGGATTTCAATGTTGCTTATTATTCAATTTCAACAGAATGACTAAACACTGTATGTATTATGTTTTCATTTACTACAAGTGTAACGTACGTATATAGCTTTGTTAATAATTTTGATAAGTTTGCAACTACTTGAGACATCTTTTTGTAAATTATAATTCAGTGTCCAACTTGATATTGATGCCATCTAGATGCAGCCCCTTTTTCGTCATCTACAGAACCAGAACTAGAATTCTTTGTTTACAACCACAACAATAAATACAATGTGGTATTGGAGAGGAGGCGAATCCCTTTGTTCGAAAGGTGGGTACCCGTGAGACAAGATTTGCATTCTATTATGACGTAGATCATCGCGGGGGGTAACAAATCCCTTTTCCAGCAAATACCGCAAGCGCAGATGACGCAACAAAGGTTGGTATCCAGGTCTTTTCTTTATGATGTGAGAGATTATATTCCTAATTCGTATTTACTCATTGCCTACTGTGAATGGATGGGCCTTGTATCATTTATATGTGAATAACATACTTTAGTAGTCTATGTATTAATCAAATAGGAATTATCAGAAGTTATATATTATTAAAACGCTAGACAATTATCATCCCTTTTTTAAAGAACTCAAATTGCAGGTTTAGACAACAACAAAATGATCATAAAAAGCCTTAAGATATGTTTAAAGTAAAACGCTTAAAACCATAAACAGCTGCATCTACCATGACAACTACAAAACGGGACATCAAGCAATTTTTGTCGGTAGAAGTTATCGTAATTAATGAAGGTATATCAAATTCAACTTCAACAATATACCAAAGCCAAAGGTTTTGCTCTTTCAAACTCGGGTTTATAAGACGCGAGATGGCTTAAATACGCGTTTAGTATCATACGAATCAAAATACGAACACTAGTCGAATCGGATTGGTGTATGATCGGCAAAAAGGAATTCCTGGCCTGATTTTTTGCTGGATCTTCAAACTGGCAGATTGTCGTAACTCGTAGGCAGTATTAAGGGAGCTCGAGGTGGGGGGGGGGGGGGGCAACATGATGCTGGCCGTATAAATCTGCTCACTTTAGATTTTCCCATCTTGCGCTTAGATGCTTCCCTTTCAAGCCCATGAGGTTTGGGCAGAGTATCCCTTGCTTACATCTGGCCCGGCTGCTGTCCATCCGATATTTTGGGCAGCCATGACACTGTTTTACGACGTTGCCCTGGAACCACCTGCGTATCTGAAGGGGTGCAGGAAGGGGGTGTGTATGCCCAGATTTATCTTAAACGATAAAAATAATTGGTAATTGATTTCTTCTTTTTTTCTTCAATATAATGAAGAACTTATTCAAGTTATTCCAAAACAGACGATCAACGCGTGCTCTTTAAAGCTCATAGACCATTGTAGACTCAAGATAATGTGTAATACAAACTCTCAATCGAAACGAAGTGGGGCCATATTTAATGTTGACTTGTTTTGCTCTCTTGCATAAAGCTAGAAGCAATTCATCTATAAAATATTAAAATTAAAAGCAGAGCTTATAAATGATTTAGGGATGAATTAATGTGACATGTATCACCGGTACCCACAAAGGAGGCCCCGGAATGGTGATGTCCTTACTGTAGTGCTTACCTCTAATTTTCGCCCCTGCCGCTTGAACGGAAGGCCTGTGTACGCCACCACGTGGAACACTCGACGATATCATTTCTCTCTTGGCAGCACACTAGATACTGATACATCGGCAGATGATTGAACACATTGCAGGAGAGGCCTGCAAATAAGATTGAGAGACGAAAGGGAAGTTGAGAATGGGATGACGAGCTATCTGGAATGTGGGTAGTCTATCTTGCTCTGGTTTAGGTGCATGCTGGTATAGTGTTGGTATTAATGAAGAAACTGAAGAGGAAAACGAATAAAGAAAGGACATGAAAACAGACGCAAAGAGCTGACCACTGATGGGAAAGTTTGATAGAGATCGAAAATAAGTAAATGGGGGGGGGGGGGGGTGAAGAAAGTTCGATGAAGAAAATCAAGTAAGAAACATGAACAAATTCAAACATTCTTCTTTTAAAAGAATTGTTATGATCAACATGAAACTGATAACTTTGATGATGATGATGATGATGATGATGATGATTGAGATGACAATGGTTCTGAGGGCGGTGATGGTTATAAGAAGGATAATTATAATGATAGTAATAATATCACATTGTACAAATAAAGTATTTATCAAACAAAGCTTACTGTTTAATCATATACTAGATGGCCGAGTTTAAAAATCTCGTTATTAGGTAACACGACCTAAATTTTGGCAAAGACGAGGAGGCTTATATGTGGAAATACAGTACACCCCTATAGTATAGCCATGAAGATGAGATGATATCTCATGTTCTGCGACAAAATAGCCAGACGTAATGGATGTTGTATACGCTTCGCAATGGGATCAACGGCGGGATCAACTCTTAAAAGCTTGTGACAGTTCACTTTCAGTCGATCCATAATCTTAACGTCTTTTAGGGCCTACCCTGACAAAGTGACATGTATAGAATTACCGATAAATCTGTATGGAGGATTTGTTACTTTAATGTGCCTGCAAATCTAGTCATAGTACACCACAAATGTATTTTTAAAGAAGCATGAATACAATCATGATGTGATGATAAAGGTGTTATGTCCGTTCTCCACGGTGCGGTTATTGCCTGCGCCAATTTAACGTTTTGAGGACAACTAGGTCATGGGCCAATAATCGGGTAATTCAACGCAATGTTTGCACTGTTCATTTCACATTCGCATATCCTTCTCACATGGCGAAATAAAGCGCACCAGTCGCTGACGCAGTCCTGCGTCAGGCCATTGGCGTTAAAAGACTCGGTGAACGGGAGGGGGTACATATATGGAGGGGGCACAGATAGGGAGGGGATATGACACGAAAAATCACAGAGTCATATAGTTACACTCCCCCCCCCCCCCTCCCTCCTACACAGACACGAGTTGGGTTTCGAGATACAGATATATTTACTCTATACTTGGATCGAAAGAGTGTGTGAGCGAGAGAGAGAGAGAGAGAGAGAGAGAGGGAAAGATAGAAAGAGAGAGAGAAGAGAGAGAGAGAGAGAGAGAGAGAGAGAGAGAGAGAAAGAATTACAATTCAGCGGCGTACGTAAGACAAGATAATCATACGTGGTGAAATATGGAAGGCAGGCGTCACTTTCGTAATGAAATGACCACTGTAACGGACAAAACCATAAAACCTGATCCGCCAGCATGGCTAGGTTACAATTTACGGGACATGTCTTACGTTTCATTATAATGAATGACTGCTGTGACCAAGCAAGTCATCAAAATGTTCGAAGATGCTGCAATATTCTCAGGTTTCATCAACTCCCAGAGGAGACTCCTTTTCACGAGTCCTCAGAATAGAACGAATTTCCTTTGCACACGCCCTCAATCACTGAAATTAAGTATCTTCATATTGTGATCAATATTTCTTTCCCGCAAGTGTTCAGATAACTTGAGACAGAAGTATGACGCTTTAAAAGATATTTCTTTTATTTAGACTCATCCATTGATGGTGCAACTTATTGTTTTGAAAGCACTCGATGTAACTATCCGCTTGTTGTATAAAGAAATAATTTCCACTTTTGTATCGAGGGAGTTTGAACAAAATAACCTATTCATGCTTGACGTCAGAGGGCAAATGCTACAGTACTCACCCACAGCCCTTCCGACACCCTCTGAAATCTGGTTTCGCCGCTAAAAACTGATAGTCATGTGCGGTTTTTCTTGGTATTTTGTACACCCTTTTTTATAATTCTACCTACCGTCTTACTATGCTAGTCTCTAGTGCCTGGGAATTACTGCCAGATACACGTATATTTAAAGATTTCGAATCGATTTTACTCGAGACCTTCCTGCTAGGTTCCTGAAATGTGGGGAAAGTATTGTCAGTCGGTGAGATGGCGCTATACGACTTTAAATGCATGACATTCACAGACCTCCCTTGTACTGCTGTTAAAATGAAGAAATAAAGCCATGTTGTGATGTTTAAATACTTGAGAAATACGGTTGAATTGTTAAAAATAATACTTTCACTTTTAATTAAATCGAAAGACGCATTAGAAATTCTGAATTTCATCATTGTGCCTACATTGATATATATTGCCACCAAGTTCACAGAAGATCGAATGTTATCTTTTAAAAACCATGCCTTACTCTAATTATCACGTTTTAAAAAAAGGAACTTTAAATGGAAACGTTGGTACCAATATATTGTACTGATATATTTCTATATGGTAGAGCTTTCGTGATGTTTTCTCATCAATGCATCATTTAGTGCTCGTGAGCGGTCGTCCATGCATTATATCCATTTCATTTACTACGCTTTCGTATACACCAGTTTTACTTTGTAAATTGAAAAGAAAATGCCGTAGAAAGAAGGGTAAGGTGTGGAAGGGGATGCACCCTCTCATCTTCATTTTTTACCTTGCCCCTCCCTTCTTTTTCTTCTTTACCCCTCTTTTTGCCTTTCTTAGGGAAGGAATTCCCGTTGCCGCCAATTCCACATAACTACATTACTGCATGAGTATATCAATTTCGAATGGCACACATACATTCCAATTCACCATCCTTGCTATAGATAAACATGATAACATGATGGGCAAATCTGTCCGTGCGCGATGTTGTCGAAATATCCTTCTTGGCTGTCCAAATCAATTAAACTAGAACACCATTAAAAGTTAACCAGATCGGAAAAATCGACAAATTCATTAAATGAGTAGTACATTTCTATTAGGAAAAGTTTTGACTACCGGATAAATGGTTGTCTGTTCCACTTTCTTAACCAATGTTACGAGGAAATCCTTCAGTAAAGTCACTTTGAAGCTCATCGCAAAAATGGCTTTTAATGTAATTTAAAACAAAAGAGAACAAGAACTAGAATCCATCGCCCTAGATAACAAAATATAGGTCAATGAAACGGGATCGGAACCCTTGCAGACTACATTCCCTATTAAATCGTATTGACAGCATCGTTCCTCCTCTTTCCGGATTTCCCTTTTCATTTAAACAATTTGCACGCGCTCGCAGACGATATCATCTGCGCCTGGGATCCTGCGAGATTTATCTGTTGTGATATGTGTATGTCACTCAAAAATTCTCCCGCCAAATTCACTTTGAGGTTCCTAAGTGAATCTATTGTCGTATTGTTGATAAGGGTATCCGGTGTATTCTTACGCTACAAACTGGGTTAGATGCATTTGTACAACAACTAAAAGGGGTTGTAGGTGGTGTTTGGGTGTAATTGTGCACCACTTAACTTGTTGTTTGACGCAACCTAAGATTGGTATTATAACGTTAGAGTTTGTTTTGCAGGGGCGAAAGACAAACATTTTCGTGGGTTATACAAAGCTTTTACGTCAGGTTCTAATGTCAAACATAGAATTCGATGCCTTTAACTGTATTCTATGTAAATGTGTCCTGTTAAGGGTATTTTTAAACCCAAAATCTATCGCAGACAAATATTTTGAAGCTATTCAAATGATGTCAAATATGCGCAAACATGTATTTTTTCTAAATGCGCCAGTCCTCAGTCATAACATATACGTTTTCGCGCCCGTTGGCCTACGAAAATCAAAACATATTTTGTTTTATACTATTTGTTCTATTCATTCTATGTATCCTGTTTGGGGTATTTTTAAACGAATGTATTGCCGACAAATATTTTGATGCTATTAAAATGATGTTAAATATGCGCAAACCTTGTATTCTTTCTAAATGCGCCAGTCCTCAGTCATAACATATACGTTTTTTGCGCCTGTTGGCCTACGAAAATCAAAATCGACTTTGATTTATTCTATTTGTTCTATTTATTGTATGTATCCTGTGAGGGGTATTTCTAAACATATGTATTGCAGACAAATATTTTGATGCTACTCAAATGATGTTAAATATACACAAACATGTATTATTTCTATTATACGCCATTCATCACTTATTACATATACGTTTCCGCGCCTGTTGACCTTCGAAAATCAAAATCAATTTTGATTTATTCATTTTATAATGGATGACCCAGGGGCGGATCCAGCCGGCGACAAGAGGGGGCCCCAAACCTTGAGAACAAAATTTAGCGCCGACTCAGCCGGCCGGTGAATAAGCGGGGGGGGGGGGGGGGGGGGGGGGGGGGGGGGGGGGGGGGGCACATTTTTTTTTTGGGGGGGGACCCAATTCGTGAGAAAATATTTAGCAGCGATACATCCACCCTGTGAATACGCAAGGGGGGAGGGTGATGGAAAAGAGAACCACTAATTTTTAAAAAAAATTTATAGATTTTTTTTGGGGGGCCAGCTTTTGTTTTTTGTTTAAAAAAGGTTAAATTTACGTTATTATCCTATTTTTTTTAAAACAGTTTTTTGGGCTGGGGGGGGGGGGGGGGGGCAGGCCAGAAAAATCGCCACGTAGATCCGCGCCTGGGATGACCTGCCATGACGAGAGATTAATAATTGCACAAATGCTGGTACAGTAGCGCTCGAATATCCATATCATTTTTTTCTTTTTTTTCTTTTGGGATGTCTAAAATCTAAAAACATAACATATTTTGTATTCGATTCATTTTGATTATCACAATGACACCATAGTGCTCATACCTTCAATTCAAGTGTGAAAAAAAAGAAAAACAAAATCACAATGAAAATACAAATTTAAAGTACACGTGCTCAACGTTCAAAATAGTGTCTAATCAAAAGAAGCATGTATCAGCCCACGTATTTGTTAGTACATACTTATTAATCGTCTGAAATTTAAGGGAGTTTTCTCTTCTCACTACTCCTTCCCCCTTTAGAGGGGCGAAGGGAGATAGGGGCTCGATATTGAGAGGTAAAAATGCCAGAGGTAACTCTGGCATTTTTCGTTTTCACATTCTTGCCTAACACCGGCTCACCAAACTGGGATTCAAACAACGACAGCAACTTTGACATCACCAATAACATCATCAACAACGACTGCAATTACAACAGCAAGAAGAAGAACAACAATAACAACCGGAATAACAAAAGCAGAACCCCATAACTTCAACGAAGTAAAACATATTGCGTCCATGTATCTAGCCTCTTTAACAAGCAAACCTAATAGTCTACAAAACGTCTTATTCATTCTTGGCACAACTAATATTACCTAAACGCATGATAATCCAGGGTGTATAATTGGGGTTGCTGTACAATATCTACTCAATTCAAAAGGCCAGTGTCCTCTGAATTAACCAACCCCACCCTCTCCGTTTCCCCCACCCATTTGACGCGGTTGCACGGCTGCACGTCACTATATGATTCAAGTTTGATTACCATGTTACATGGTAGTCTTTGATTAGGTTGATTCCCTAGTCGGTGATGGAGTGAATATTGTATCATCCAATCTTGTTAAAATGTGGGTCGGTTTGCCAATGAATTTTTTCGACGAGCGCTCTTCCCGATTCATCAAAGCCCGCCCGAGACGACAGAGAGCGGCAGGATGCAATTCCGTAAATCATTTGTACGTTACAAAGGCAACATGATACGCTAAAGCTTCCGTGCTCTCTATCTATCTCTCTCTCTCTCTCTCTCTGTTCCCTCTCTCTCTCTCTCTCTCTCTCCCATCTCTTTCCCTTCTCTCACCCTCTCTCCACCTCTCTCTCCCCTCTCTCCCTCTCTTCCTCACTCTTTACCCCTCCTTCTCTGTATATGTACATGCACATCTTTCTTTCGCTCTTTATCTGTGTATGTCTCTCCATCTCTCTGCTCCCCTCCCTCTATTTATAATAATAATAAATAATATTTAATTCTTATAGCGCTTAATACAAATGTGTCAAAGCGCTTTACAAATATACTATTTTCCTCTTTCATTTTGTGTAGATCTCCTATAATTTCCTTTTAGTCTCGGCTTTATTTTGCTTTTCATCACTTTTGTTGTTATCAGCTAGTGATATATAAAAAATAGTCGAAGCAACTGGCAAGAATTCAAACAAACAAAAAAGAAAACCGAAAATGAAACAAAATAAAAGCCCCCCCCCCCCCCCAAGAAAAGAAAAATCTGGAGACACGATCGCTAATCAACAAAGTTCTGAATCAGATTGATGTCAACAAGACGAACTGCTATATCTCTACCTCGTTACTTTCTGATATCAAATAGAAACACAATAAAAAAAAAACTATAAAAAAAAAATAACAAAGACATTAATACCCAGATGGTGCATTTTTCTCATGTCATTAAAACCTGTATGATCCTAACGTGAAATATTGTTTTTATACAGGAAGAATAGGTGATATTTTTTTTCAAAGTATTTTAGTTAATTGATGCTTAGTTTCAAATCATATGAAACTTCGCCGGAGACAGAACATCTCTCATTCTCTCTCTCTCTCTCTCTCTCATTCTCTCTCTCATTCTCTCTCTCTCTCTCTCTCTCTCTCCCTCTCTCTCTCTCTCTCTCATTCTTTCCTTTACGGCACATGATCTGTCACTCTCCTAGAATCTGTCAGGTTTGTCCACACTCCTCAAGCTTCTCATTTACCCTCTCAGCACTGTCAACTTTTTTCCCCTTCCAAATTAAAAGATGAAGAGCAAACGTCACAGCAAACAACTTGTCACCTCACTCCTTTAAATGTCAGGTGATTGCTTTTAAATCACATGTCCCTTCTCTATTACTTTCGGATTGGAAGACCTTGAATAACAGATTGAAATATTGCATCGTTGTCCGTGGCCCTCAAAAATACACGTCCTTCGTATCATTTTTATCCCTTAAGAAAGATGATTACAGGTCTGGGATGACAAGTGGCATTGGTATAAAAGCGAGACAGGAAATAATTCATGGATTTATCTTGTTTAAAAACCTTCGTTGGGTCGAGGAAGTCATTACATAGCGCAAGGGACCCGTTTCACAAAGCCTTTTTCCAATGACAAATGTCAAATATTAGTGACAAATCTGCTGATAACCAATCAGAAGCAAGGATTTCAGCAGCTGATAACAACAACTGTCATTTGTCACTGATGACCAGTTTTGTGAAACATCCCCAGAATTCCTATCCGTTTAGCAGCTGTCTTTGCCTGAGGTTAACAATTTGATGAAGGCACTATTAAAGATCACCTGTAGCTTTTGAGACAGCATTTGTCAAAAGAGAAACTACTTGTGAAAGTCAAAGATAAGAGATAGTCATTATTAAGTATTCATAAAAGCGTTCTTGAACTATACTCCAAGTTTAAGGTGGTAAATTTAACTCTGAAATCGAAAAATGTTAGCTTCCTCACCGCGTAAAAATGAACTGAATCGAGTATGGATACTGAACAATATATGTGAACAAACAAATGCCATGGAATCTTTGAAGGCTTGCATAATAAGAGTAGATTTGAGCGAGGTTTGCGTTTACACCACGTATTCTGTCGACAGGCTTGCTTGGCCCCGAGATAGAGCATGAGTGGGCACTTTTCAGGGCCAACTCCTGCCGAATGAATACGTGTTGTAATTGCAAACCTCGCTCAAAACGAATGCCATGTGAACATTTTATTCGCTGTCATGACACTACTCAATTTATTATGTGGTCTGTCATCGACAGAGCTGCTATTAATTTCGTCAGAATTTTCTTTCTCTATTTCCTTATTTATTATTTCTATGATTTTTTTAAAAATCAATAATTATGATACTCCCACTCACTTCAGGATACCGTGCTTTCAATTAGAAAAACATGCCAGGTCGAACAAAATTGTTAATAAAAACCTAGTTTGATAAACAGTTCAACTTTAAGAACAATTAAAGAATTATATTACAAAAAAAAAATTAAATTATGAAGTGCTTTGAATAATTTGTTACAACTTGTTTTCAAACCAATGAACAAAACACGGTTTAATTACTAATAATGAAAAGTTCAAAACAAAACTACAAAATCACAACCAAAATTTAAATAGTTTTTTAAAAAATCACCTCAATTTTCGTTGAGACGGACCTGTGCAGACCTCCCTTCTGTTTGGTTACAGCTGTCACCAGAACTGCCACCCCAGGACACTTCCATCGTTGCATAGTGTCGGCAATCCGATGGTGTGATCAGCATATCCTTGCTGCCCCAACGTTATCTGACAAACCTGCAAAACACCATTAAAGTACATCATGCATACCATTCGAAAAATACAAAAACTTTTACACTTCAAAAGCAAAGTGAATGAATATACATTTCAATCATAATGAAGTGCCAAGATTCAATTAAAACACACATCGTAAATAACGAAAAACACCAATATTGACAACTTGAATTACAATGAATACTTTACAATACACTAAAATCTTAATATGATTATAATGTGTATGAATAAATATCTTTTTAATATTTCATGAAATCTTCACGATTAAAAAAAGCATCCTTTACAATTCAACATCACTGACTTTTAAAGACCTTTCGTCACAATTTTTACAACATATTTTTACCACAACATTTTACAACAGCAAAATACAAACCTCGATGTCGTTTCCTTCCACCGTCAAACGTCTTTTCTTGCACTGGCCGTGGCCTCTGACACGGACACACTTTCCGGTCTGATGAAAGTGTCCACCAACTCCTTATTAACGTGGAAGTCTACCACCTCTGAAAAGACATGAAAATACAATTTATATCAATAAAATACAATTTATAACTATTTAAAAGATATTTAAACATTGTGATACACAGCCACCTCCCCACAGCAATACCATTATAAACCATTACAATAAGGACTCCACGTACAAACAAATCATTCGTCTAAATATAAATACCACCCTAACATGGAATTGCAAATGAATAAAGCCATAGTTCCAATAACTTCACTTCAAATGTAACTGTAATACATTAGCAACACCTAACCACTTTCAGTTCTCAACTTCCAACCCGCCATCACAAACATTTGAAATATTTGAATTTATAATGATGACGTGCATCAGGTACATTATAGTCTCTCATGCAACCCCAAAAAAACTAGTACGAGTATAAATTACATAACATTAATGTTAACCAACTTTAAACAACTTTATTAGTAGTAATTCTGTCACTTTTGTTTCTTTCTTTTTATTTAGAATCTTCCCCATCTATAATAAGTTGTAAATTTGTTATTAATTGTATCGTAAGTATACAAATCTCCTGTAAATATTGTAATTTTATTTTATCTGTTCAAATAACAAAATTCAATGCATCGTTCCACATTGTATCCCTTTCTCTCCTCTCTCTTGCTCTGTTTTCCATCTCCTCTCTTGGTCTGCGCCTCTCATTGTAGCTTGCTCTGTCTCTGCATCTCTCTCTCTCTCTCTCTCTCTCTCTCTCTCTACTATTTCACCCTCTCCCTCATTCTGTTCACAAATCATCACAATTTCTCATCAATTACAAAAAGTAAATTTCTCTATATCTGCATAAAGCCTACAAAATAACATTTTCTTATTAAAATCCTTCATCAATTCGTTACAGAATCCAAAACCAATTACTTTGCTAACCTTCAAATCACTCAATGGTCTGTCTCCAGAATATCTCTCTGATCTTGTATTAAAATTTGTTCCATCGAAGTCCTTGCGTTCTGTATCTCAAAACCTCCTCGTATTATTTATTTCACGATCTTCAAAAAGTCAAAAGAGGACGCTTAACAAAAGTACCTCCATAAATGGACACCAAAAAGTTCCAAACTTTCACCTACAATAGCGTTGCTGAACAATCTCAGGCTGGGGCCACCTTTGCTGGCTGCCTGGGTCATGATTCTTTGGTCGTGTAGTTTGTCGTTGATGACTGAGCTGAGGAGAGATGCCTTTTCTTTTTCTATTCCCCTGGTTACAATAGAAGAGCTTTCAGTTGTGTCATAGTGATCCAGCAGAAGAATACAACCCGGTGAATAAACAATTAACATTGTTGAAGGCAGACACAATAGAGATCAAGGGTGATCATGATGAGCTCCAGTGAATATCAAAAAGCTGTGATCCTCATGAAAGGCTGCTTGTTGGAGCCACCTTCGCTTTTCACCAAGCATATAGGTCGGACTGAAGTAACAAATAAGTAGTTTTCGCTTGGATTTTGAGGTAGAAAAGTTGGATTTTACTCACTTATCCTCAGTTGACAAACTTTCAAACTGCTCCTGGTTGCAGATGAAGGTACCCCACAAGTATCAAATTGCTATACTCAAGATTGTAATGTGGTAAATTTAATCAAGAATTCCCTGACTTTTTGGACTTGCAATGTTTTTAAAATGTATACATTCTGGATTATTAGTCGAATGTTTTATGCTCTTGCATTTATACACGTTTTTTCTCGATGCATACCATGTCATGTATTACTGTTGTATGGCAACTACAAAGCCTTTCACATACCATGCTTGTTGTATTACATTCTTTCAACATGCCATGCTTGTACTTTTCTTAGGCTGCTGTAAATAACTGCATTCACTACAGATGTACATTTACATTTTTAATAACCTGCTCTTGTGAAATTTTGTAATTCGTTTATTTATATCTGTATTGCCTCTCATCTGCGTATTGCATACACAGCTTCAATTCTGGCAGGGGAGTATTTTGTAGCGACTCATTCATTCGCAATACTTTTACTACATATCACGTCGGGGTCACCAATAAAGAGTTATGTTGTGTGATCAGTGAATACGCTTTTACAATATTCATTCACAATACCTCAAATACTCATATCTCTAAATCACCAATCAGTCTAATGCGTTAGCATACAGGGAATGTGAAAGAAAGTCCCTGGCTTCTAGTCTAAAAAGACCACTCGACGCTTCAGATTCGACTTCATTCACAAAACATCCCTTCACCAAAGTTCATTCTAACGCACTTTCTATCACTTCTATCACATTCCCGAACAGTAATGACGACCACTCGATGATACCTTCCGTAACTACAACTTCTCCACAACCATCATTTCAACGGTCGAATATTTAGACGAGATTTGGGCGAAATCACAAACTTACTAGAAAAATCTATTAAAAAGCAAAAAATCACTAAGCATGACAATACGCACGGAACACACAACGTTCACTACTAGAATATCACACATGCATTTGTCAGACCATATGTATATTACCCCTGTGAAAGGTACATAGCATCTTTTACAATTGCAGGTGTTTGAAATTCCTCAACATGTCAGTTTTGTATAGGAGCTAGGGCTTACCAGTTCTGTCCAGCTCATATAAGGCGGTGTCACACAGAGGCCAAAATTCCGGATTCTAGTTATCCTCTTAATTGCTGTCTGTCATCAATTATCCCATTAAAAATCCTCTAACGAAGCAAGAACATTCTCCCTTGAAAGGGTTTTTCAAGGAATTTTTAAAGGGATTTTTCTGTGTGACACCACCTATTGTCATTTCTATTACCATTTCCGGTAGCCTGACTAGTCTTAGCTGTGTATCCCCGTCTCTCTCCCTCTCCTCTCCTATCTCGTTTCCCTATCGTTCATCCCCATACCCTCTAACTTGTCTCATATCTATATTCGACTATTTAAAAACATATTATGTATTAGGTATAATTGTTTAATGATGTTATTTATTATGAATATTCATTTTTGTTAAATACCAGTGGAAGCAAATTGCCATTGTTATTTCAATATGGACCAATAAAATAATTTGAACACATCAGTCAGACGCTTTTTTCATATCTCTGAAAGGAGACGGAGAATCAAGTAAAAATAGGCCCTTAACCCAATGGATATGAATTACGTCACGGCAATGTTGGGACGAAAGATGATTTCGAGGACTTTTCTGAAATCTTGATTCTACGTTCAAGTCTTCTTCGAGCTCTCTCTCTCTCTCTCTCTCTCTCTCTCAATTACTTTCGCTTGATTTTCTCCCAGCTTCAAATATGATGTGGCTGAAAAATTTCTCTACACGGAAGGCCACAAGTCATTCCCTTTTTTCAAAAGTAGTCATCTAGTTACCTGCTAAAAAGAAAGAACTTGGCAAGTCTTCTCTTCACTTCCCAGAGTCAGTTTATTTAATGGAGGACTCCAATGTTGATCTTCAACAGTTCATATTCAAGGTGCCTGTCTGAGGTAATCAAGTACTCGTGTATATGATAATCACAGATATAAGTCGATCTGCTATTGAAAGGCCACTGGCATCGGAAGGAGGGGGAGGGGGCTAGTCTGTATCAGTTTATACTTGATGAAAATGCGGTTCATTCTCTCTTTCTATTTCTTTCTCCTCTCAATCTCTCTCTCTCTCTCTCTCTCTTTCTCTCTCTCCCCCTCTCTCTCTCTCTCTCTCTCTCTTCTTGCTTTTGGTCTCTTCGATGGGGGTTTCCGGCGGCCCTGTAGCTAGTCCATTGAACATGAAAACTAGTCATTCAAATACCAAACCAGTACATGAAAAAAGTTTGGCAAGTTTTATTTTCTATTTGCATAGCCTCCTGCCACCTCTACTTAAAAGTGCTACAAAGGACTCAAGAACAAAGCATATTTGCCATCAACTTCATTTTTTTAATATGGCGATAGTACTGACCTCTGGGAGAAGTCGATGCCTATTGATTTCCGCAGTAAAATCAAATAAAGGGAAAGAATTGAATGGAATTGTATAGGAATGTCATAGAACTTTGGTTAACTGATACAGTAATTATTTTACAATTTTGATCTTTTAAAATTATAACAGCAATATCATTTCCTTCCGACAAAAGCAATCATAATCATAATCTTTTATTACATAATCATATGCAATATGAGTTAAATAATGGGAAATTCAAGTAAATTTAAAAAAAAAATGGGTTTAAAAAGTGAGTCTAACTATGGGATCAAGAAAATGAAAATAATGCAAGTAGAAATAGAAACATCCAACTTAAACCACTTTTGTACTCTCTAATAGCTTTTGAGACACTTTCCTCCGGGAAATCCCCTACCCAACCATAACTCACTTAAAACTGATTCACGTTCATGACAAAGTAGTCGACAAACTTCAAACTTAAATCGCGTGAGCGCTACCGCGGGACCCACTGAACTACTTAGCATGCGCAGTACATCGGTCACGTGATTCGTTATGTCGAACACTCGATACGTGAGAAGAAGCGGAGAGCAAGCTTCCGTCTTACTAATGGATGAAAGTGGGCGAAAGTTCCGCTTCTTTCTCTCCTCTTTCCCTTTAGAATCTTTGAATGATGTGCCGCACATTTCTTCTGGAAAGTGGCCAACATGACCGAAAGCATCGTTTTTAAAAAGTGACTAGACAGTATCACCTACTTAACAATGTACTTTAGTGTTTTATAACAGGGTCTGTTTATAAATCAGTGCGTTATTACGATGATTAAATTGGTGCCATATTACAATGTTTAAAGCTGTAATTGAAAGTAATGATGGGCAACATTTTCGCTCTGAGTTAATAGGTACCATGTACAATAGGAATTTCGGAGCCTATAAATACGTCGACCGAATGTTGTCCTCATGCTACGGGTTCGATAATATGCCACTGCACTAAACGTCCTTTGGCTTTGGCAATACATTATACTACTTTTGACACATTACTCTCCTACCGCTGAAGTTAGAGGGTAGAAATTCCTTCAATAATTGAGTGCCATGTCATGGAAGCTCGACTCAGCCCGGTGCTGTAAAGCATTTTGCATCCTCAGGGGAG